AGAGCGGCATGACAAAGCGGAGAACACACCGGCAGGTCTGACACACACACACACACACACAGAGACCGATAAACACACACACACTCATTACTGTGTGTCCCTTATTCAGTTATTAACATGTAGTGTGCAGTCTTCATCATGCTGTTTGCTGTGTGTGTGTAAGAGCATCAGAGCAGAACTCATTAATATTCATGACCCTTCCAAATATGGTCAAGACCTACCATATAAAATGAGGGCCAATTCTAAAAACCCGTTTACACCAAGAACGAGCACTATAAAGATCCCGATAAGGAGATCATTAACAGTGATAAACACACAGAGGCATGATATCAGCACTGTCAGGAGGAGTTTTCCCAGGTGATGAATAATAAAACACTGACAGCCAATCAGAATCCAGTGAACATTAAAGCTCCAGACGCCACTGTGGAGAAGCACTGATGATGATCGGTCATCGCTTACAAGATTATTTCTAAACTATGGTGAAAACAATTGGTTATGCCATGGGAAATAATGATAAAATAATAAACAGAAGTTCTAAATAAAACACAATAGCACAGGAATCCAGTGGCAGTCTGTGTGGAAAATGCTGGAGAACTGACGGTAACACTTTACAATGAGGTTCATTAGTTAATGCATTTACTAACATGAACAACACATGTACAGCATTTATTAATCATAACTGAACATTTACTAATGCATTATTAACATTCAAGTCCATGCTTGTTAACATTAGTTAATGCATCATGAGTTGACGAACTAACACTGAACTACTGTATTTTCATTAACTAACATGAACAAATACAGTAGTAAATGTGTTGTTCATTGTTTGTTCATGTTAGTAAATGCATTAATTAACATTAACTAATGAACCTTATTGTAAAGTGTGACCGAACTGACTGAATAAAACTGTGTGATTAGGACAGTCACAGGACAGTGGACACTAATATATTCATCTGCATATTTATATGTATTGTGCTTGATGTGAACAGGCCCTAACTCTTGTTATTTTGTTCTTCTTAAAGGGTCAGTTCACCCAAAAATTAAAACTCTGCCATCATTTACTCACCCTTGATTTAAACCTTTACGATTTTCTTTCTGCTGTTGAACATAAAAGGAGATATTTAGAAAAATGTTGGAAACCTTCCATTTGCTTCTCCCATTATGAAAGTCAATGGTTACAGGTTTTCAGCTTCAGAGTATCTTTGTTAGTGTTCAACAGAAGAGAGAAACTCATAAAATTGGAACCTCTTGAGGATGTGAAATCTCCCTTTAATAACTTCTCCATTATGTGAATAATATATTGACAAACTGCCATATAAACAGCATTGCAAAATCAGGACACTTTACAAAAGGACACTTCATACGGTCATCATCATCATCATATATACAGTGATCTGGCTCGATCCTGAATCATACATGTGCTGC